GATTGTGTTCGCGCTGATAGAATGCTGCAGCTAAGAGTATCTTTCTTTCCTTATGCTTTCAGCATTCTAGATTTTATTCATTGTCTGTTCTTCTTTCCCAGCTATTGGGGTAAACAAAACCAACAAGTTAGATGCACAGATAGTCAGATATTTAGTTAGCAAGGCTGGTAGGTAGGATGCGACTGATACCAAACCTTAAATACTGAATCCTGTTTTCAAAGCAGTAAAAGAGTATTGTACGAAATCTTATTCGCACGGAACTTAAAAAAGGTTAGAAAGGGTTCCAATTCTCGAAACTCGTTTTAGTTCCGTATAGTACCTTTTTTCCAGAGTAGTCAGGATTATTGATTCCACCACAGGAAATGCTGAGATTATCTAGAAAAATAATTTTAATGAAAATTGTTTCTTGGCAATTGTTCGTGACTAGTATTTTAGTCGATATTCAACTTGAACTTGACAGAGTTTCTATAGATACTGCCATCAACTGATTTGGAAGTCATTTCAGGACATTCATCGATCGAGCGCTTCTTCACCTTGAACACACTGTAAAAAATAAAGTGTGTTCGGGGCACACTGAATGTGTACATCACGTTGGACTGTTTTTGCACACTGAAAATGGCTTGTTCAGTGTGCCTATAACACACTGAAATTGCACATATAGCTTCCACAGTAGAGATCTGCACGGACAGGATTTTTCTGCCCATGCCCGTCCGTACTTGTAAGCCTACAGAGGATGCTTGTCCGTGCCCGTAACTCTACCAAGGATGCTTATCCGTGCCTGTCCGTGAATTTGTTTCGCTGTCTGTGCTCGTCCGTGAATTTGTTTCGTATATGAATAGTCCGTATATTAAAAAAATTTTCTCGTCCACGCGTGTATATTATGGGGGTATCCTTGTTTCGTCGACACTAGTTTCTTGCTCGTTTCGTCGACACTTTTTTTATCTTAATTCGTTGACAAAATGTTTTTAATCAATTAAACTTGATTCTTGTTTCGTCGACACTTTATTTTATCCGTTGCAAAACATGAAATTATAGTTGCAATTATTAAAATGTATACTACAATTTTAAATTTGAAAACAGTTGATAAAATTCAATAGAAAAGATCAACTGATTTTAATTTTAAACGGTTATCGTTATACACAAGGTTGGGTAAGAAATAATAACACATATTGGAAATGTGAAGATCGTTCATATACTGGTCGTGCATCACAAAAATGTTTGGATGATCCAAAAGAAACACAACAACATAGTCACAGTCCTAACCAAGGTCAATGCAACGTTGAAGAATTTACAACAAATGTAAAGAAATGCATTAGAGAAGAACCAGAACCGGTAAGAAAAATATTTAGACAAGAATTAGTTAAACTGCAAACAAAAAACCCTGATCAAGTTCAAGTCAATACCTATGTTTGAACAAATTAAAACGAATTTTATCAACTGTTTTCAAATTTAAAATTGTAGTATACATTTTAATAATTGCAACTATAATTTCATGTTTTACAACGGATAAAAAAAGTATCGACGAAACAAGAATCAAGTTTAATTGATTAAAAACATTTTGTCGACGAATCAAGATAAAAAAGTGTCGACGAAACGAGCAAGAAATTAGTGTCGACGAAACAAGAATGGATCATATTATGTTGTCCTTTCGGTAGCATGTCTTTAACTACCTATATTTCATTCACAAAAAATTTAAATCTTCGTATCATTTTGTTGCTTAAAAAATTTAAAATATCTGTTTGAGAAGCCCGTGCCCGTCGAGGAGAAACAGTTGCCTGTCCATGCCCGTCCATATGTCTTTCAAGTCTGTTCGTATCCGTCCGTGTCTTTTTCGAGCCTGCTCGTGCCCGTCCATACCCGCGGGCTGTACGGGCCCGCCCGCGGCCACGGGAACTCCCGTGTCGGTGCATATCTCTATTCCACAGACAGAACGAGAAAAAAGACCGAAAAGAAGAATAATTTTTCCGTTTTTTTACCGTAGAGAAACGCAAGGTAAAAATTCAGATTACATAGTGACAATTTACACATCACTTTGGACCCGAAATGCACACTAGCCGGCACACTTTATTTTTTACAATACATACTCCGCATATCTGCTTCAGTTATTATCTTCCATGATTTGCTATTTTATAATTATGACGAACTTTTACTAACAATGTCCAAGCAATGCCTCCGGTCGTCCGAAGCATTTTCTGCTTTTGCGGACAATATAATACCTAAATTTATTATTGTTTATAGCTAGATTTTATTTTTTATGCTAACCACGATGTTGCAGCTACTAAAAGTAAAAATTTTCTTTCCTAAATGGTACAAATTAAAAAAAAATACAAAAAGTTGGTGAAAGGACGAAAAGAGGAGGCAGCCCCTAGTGAACGTACTTGAGGTCTAGTACTTAGCTACTTGTAAATTTTCTAAAGTACTTGGTTAAGCACTTGTCAAGTATTTTTAGATTCAATACGTGCCAAATACTTGGAAGAACTTCGAATACTTGCATACATTTCACAAGTATTTACCAGGTTACCTGCCAAATACTTAATGAAGTACTTATCTAGTACTTACAATTGTTAAATTACTTCATAAGTACCTTTTTTACTTGCAAAAAAATCTAGATACTTCGGACATTACTTACCCAAGTATTTTTCTAAGTACTTGGTCCCAACTACATGCACTAGGGTAGGTTCTGCAACTTTTTACTAAATTCTAGAATATACTTTTGTTTTTGAGAAATTTATTCAACTCTTCTTTCTCTTCTATTCAAAAAAATACTTTGTCAGACATCGTTGAAAATGTCATACATCGAATTTTTTCTTTCAGATTCTAGTGAATTCTCCGTGAGATGAGCCAAGAACAGAATAAAGTACTACTTAGGGCATACGAAAAGTATCGAGGTTTCGAAAAAAAATATAGTAACAAGTTAATTCAGTTTGAAATAGTCGAGGTCGTAGCCCTAGTCATATACACACCATTACATCTTTCAAACGATCTGCTAAGAGCTTTTTTTAAAATTGTCTCTGTTCAATGAACTCGCCATTTTGGTTGCGGCAAGGCGTTTCTGGGCCCATACGACTCTAGGCTCACGGGTAAAATATGAGCTCATAATCTTTTGTTATTTGCCGAGACTTTCCTACCAGAGTTATGAGAACTGGTGCACCTTGCCGCAACCAAAATGGCGAGTTCATTGAACAGAGACAATTTTAAAAAAAGCTCTTAGCAGATCGTTTGAAAGATGTAATGGTGTGTATATG